GACGCCGCGGGAACTGCTTTCGCATTGCTTCCGCGGCGCCGCGCCGCCATCGTTTATTTGACATTATAAAAATACAAATACACATAGATGGTGGGTGGTAGACGTCAACTCATCCAAGGTCTGAAAACCATCTGAAAGTTTTAAGTTGATTTCAARTTTAATTTATAAGTCGCACGTGTATGGCGGAAAAAATTAGTTCTGATTAATAGTAATTATTTAATAATAAATATTTCTTCCACCAGTCGACTGGATACATTAAAACAATATACCATGTATAATACGTAATGCGTTATTATGGAGACGATATGATACTTGATCGAATACTTCTGCTATAACACTATCAAAAACCGCGAGAAGCAAGCGTAAATTATAATATTATCTGTTTGTAGACGGATCWCGGGCACCTAGTACAATATAAAATAATATATTACACTGCCAAATTCAATAAAAACTATGTCCTGACTCGTGAATGCCGAAATTATATAAAACAATGGATATAATAGCAAGTGCTACATTCTTTAACCCATTATAGTAATAATATCTATTATGGTAACACAGTAACTGTAAATCAATTTTGGTAGATATATGCGGTTAGCTACTGTTTGTTTTGTTAGTAGACAAGAGTCATAACAATAATACTGTGACAGCATCCAAAAATGAATAACATATTTCATAAATTCTGACACTGTCAATTATGATAAAATTAAGAATAAAAGGTCATATTATAGTCATTATGTTGATTTATCTAAATCTTGTACACATCACCGTCGTCTATCCGATGGTCGTCATAGGTATCCGAGAATCCGATACACATRCAATAATAATGAAAGTGAGTGAAGTTCCMCTATCGTATACCCCGACCAATCTATTTGAAAATGATGAATTAAATTTGGAATTAGGTTTTCAGAATTTTAAAGCATTTTTAGTCTGGTATAAATAAAGATCGTCTAAATGAAAGCCACTCTCCCACTCCCATCTTTGAACTTTTACCTATATATTTCTTTTATGTTGGAATGAGAAATAATTTATGAATTCTGAATATCAATTTGAGATATTCACAGATTGTTTGAAAATTTAGTGATACCTACTATATATTTTTAAGTCACAAACGAGTGGAACTACGTGAAGTTGGTGCCCCCAATGTTATTTTTTTTTTTTTACTGATGTTTGGGGAAAAATTCACGCAATTCAATAATAACATACTATATATTCCATACTGGAACAACCTCGTCATTCGTGTCATACTATTTCACCTATATCTGCAATATTGTAATACAATAATATATAGGTAGTGCTACTGCTTTTGAATTTCCATGCAAATATTCAGTTACAACGGAACGTGCTCACCCGGCATGCTCGCATAAGGCCCGATAACCGTATTATACATTTTCAGTCCGAAACTACTCGATACTATATCATATCATATACTGTTKTGCACCATCTGTATTCCGCACAGGATATAGTTGAGAGTCGTTGCTCTGGCTAAAAGTCGAGTAATTTGATTTGGTGAAACCATAAATCGATATAATAATGTTATATTGTGCTTGGATGTATATTGGATAAGTTTTTATTTAATACCTATGATTTTTTTTTTTAATGCATATTTAATAAAACATTTAATGAGTCTTCGGGGCATAAATACATGCTTATTTTAAGATTTTTAAGGGCCTGAAGTCCCTAGCCACAATTATATTATGTAGGTAGTCAAGTCTTGAAAACATGAATCATGGAGCAAATACCAGTTGATTTGACTTAAAAATGATTTATCCCTAAAATATTCAACTTATAAACAGTTCAAGGGGCACAAAAAATTCGATTTMTCGAGGTTTTAGTTATCTCGAATTATATTGTATTGAATATTTTCTTGGATACAGAAAAAATATAGAATTTGGTAGTTGTTATGATGATGGATACGATCGATGTTAGTTTTTAATTTTTGTGGTAAATGTATTACATACGGGAATGTAGGTTATGTTAATTGTGCCTAATAATAAGTTAAAATGAAACATAAATTCCGTGACGATAATATAATGTAATAGCTTAATTTGTATTAAATGTAAAATTATTCAGATTAACCTAGACTTATAAATAATATGATATCATTTTAAAATATACACCAAACAAGGTACTTATCAGCTAGTTGTAATATTGTTTTCAATATTTTTGGAATAATTTGATATTAGATAAGGTACATATATTGATTTAATTCACACCCAACATAATTAGATACTCCAACTTTCAAATCCGATCAAAAAATGGTCTTGTTTGTCCAAAATATAATGTAGGCCTCGACGCGTGTATGATCCTTTAATAATATTTATGATATATTAACTATACACTGACTAAAGGAAATTACAATCATAGATCATAGCCAAAAACTATCAAACCGAAATCGTCGAAATGCTTGAAAGCTATGTTCCAAACTTCTATCTAACCTGCAATAACCGATGTGTCAACAAATACTACACACAATCGAAATTTTCAAAATTCTATAAAAAAAAAATTAAAAATATATTCCACCAATCAGACGCTCACATAATGGCTCATATATATATATATATATATATACTTTTCACCATACTATCGAAATTCTCTTCAACGTAGGTTATGATATTCTATTCAACTGCCATTGACTTAGAGTTGCCGACCTTTGTCTAATACATATTTCTTATGAACGATTGTTACAAGATTACAACAGGACTACCGACAAACATCGAGGAGTTGACTACAGAAGCGATAGCGTGGTCGCGTGAAAAACCGTGACGGCCCTAAAGCGTTTGTATTTCTGAATCATTTAAAATAGGAAATTGTCGTAGTTTCCTGCTGGCACTTATTGTATATATATATAATATATATATACCTACACACACAAATATATTCACCCAGCAGAGGCTTCCGTATAATTATAATATATATATACACAGTGAGTGAATATATAGAGTTTTGGAATTTATGTGTTATGCGCTGCGCTGGATTACGTGGTATGTATAATAATATACGTACTATATAAATATTAAATATTATTACTGCCGCCGTATAACAACAGCGACTATACAACTGCTCGTAGACTTAACTCGAACNAAAAATACCATCATTATTTATTTTGTATTGGTAACCTATAAAAAAATATATACATAAGCCTCAGGGCCCCATACATTGACTGTGTCCGGGGCCCCGAGAATCCTAGTTGCGGCACTGACTATCAATATGCAATATGACATCAATAGTTCAAAACGAATATTCGATTATGATTATGATTAATAAAAGAATATTCTATGGATATTCAAATTGAAAAGTCTTAAAATAATTTGGTGATATTATGCATAGAATATTCATATGGATAGTATCTGAATATTCATTTCTTACTCATCAAATAATATAAATTGAAACTATATTTAAATATATACATATTACATATATATACATATATGGTTATTTATCTGTACATAACAATGTCATTATTAAATAATATATTATATTTTATGTATAAAAATATATGCATAAAATTACTGTATAATTATTTAATTGTTTGTGACCTGTGCTTGAATTGTATGATTATGAATTTATTTTTAAATGGGATTATCATCTGTAATTTAAAAATCGTTTTTATAATTTTATTATATAACTTCAATTTTTAGTAAAAGAATACATCATAATAACTATTATCCTTCAGATTTAACATTTTGAATATAAATTATTAAATATGAATATAAATTGATATTACTTATGTATTGAACTTCATATTTAAATTATGTGATTCAAAATGTATACATAAAACAATTTTTAATTATAATTACTTGTGTAAAAAAAAAAAAAAAATATAACATTAATTTTTAGTAAAATAATACATATTAAGAACAACTTATTATGATAATAATAATAACTATTAGACCTATGTACAATTGTGATTTATTTCACATCTTTAGTCCGATTTCTAAGTACCTAAGTGATCACACTTGTGCTTGTGTAGACAAGTTGCACAACCACCAGGTGATTATTGCACTTAAAACTGTCTAACTCCCTCCGTCAGCTCAGTGACTACATGCTTTTTGATATTTTTACATGAAACTAGCAGGGATAGTATCTGGGTACTTTTGTAATCTAATGGTGTAGGATTATATTCGGTAGTCCTATTATTCGAATTTTAATTGATTTATTAAAGTGGTATTTGTACAACCACCCGGGTGATCGCAGGGCGATCGACCAGACTTCAGCCGTCAGCTCAGTAACTACAGGCTTTTTGACATTTTTACATGAAACTAGCAGGGATAGTAGCTGGGTACTTGTGTAATCTAAAGCCTCGTCCAGATCAAAGAAAAATTTGTCGAAAACAAGTGTTTCCGACATGTCGTCGACAATGTTTCTGATTTCCCGTCATAAGCGATAACATAAATATTTGTTGACGACAGTGTCAGCAATATATGTTCTTAACAAATTGTTCTCGGTCTGGACCGAGCTTTATGGTGTAGGATTATTCTATTCGGTAGTCCTATTATTCGAATTTTAATTGATTTATTAAAGTGAATTTGCACAACCACGCGGGTGATTGCAGGGCGATCGATCAGACTTCAGCCGTCAGCTCTAAATAATTTAACTTATAATAACTTTGTAATTTGGAATCACGTTGATACTCGATATTATTTCAGTATTTCGAAATATTCTTACTATTATAATATTTATCTAGATAATTTAGCACAGATAACCATTACGTTTATCTAGATAATGTAATTGAATAATTAATTTTATCTAGATAATTCCCAACACTGTCCATTAATCGAATTGAATGATTGTGTACCACGATATGAATAAATGTGAATATTCCTTCTTGTGCTGCGATACGTCTCTTTTGTAACGTGATGTGTTATGTCCAGTCTTGTAAAAAATATTTTTTTTAAAGTATTAAAATACTAATACTAGTATTCGAATAAAATAGTATTAAAATTTAAAATACTATTATAAAAATGTATTTTACGAATACTCACAAAGTATTTGAATACAAATACAAGTATTTTTTTTTAAATTGTATAATATATAATAATTTTAAAGCCAATAGTCAATACCCCACCAGMAAAAAATCATATCTACGCCACTGATTGTATATCAGTGTAGGTACCTATACCTATTATGTTACTACTCACCATAGATTTAAATTTTCAACTATTTAAAAAAATACAATAACATGACTATTTAGAGGAAAAGATTATGCAATAAGGACAAGGCACGCTATCGAGCGATCGATCGCGACCAGAAACCAAAAACAGAAAATAAGAAAAAAAATCATCGTTACACCTCCCCGATGACGTACTCTTGGGGGAGGTAAAAGTGCACGTTTCGTTGATCGGTGGAATGTATTATTCCCACGGATGAATCACCACCGCCGGTGAGTCGGCCAAATCCCTGGTCGGACGATGGTTGGCGATCGAACAGGTCGGAGGACGCCGCTGCGTACCTGTGCTGCGGTCCGATCCTCTTCACTTCGGCGTTGAAACCGTGCTCGTCATCGGCAGTGTACTCGACCACCCGTGTAGAACCATCCGCTTCGACCAGGCTGTACGTTCCCTTGACCGTGCCTCGGCCGTCGCTCACCTCGTTCTGGCTCTTCACGTCTCCGGTCAGCGGGTCTTCCACCGCGTACGCGAAGTGATACGACGAGTCGGCTTGCGGAACATCCGCCGACGGCTGCTGACCGTCGGCGTTATGGCCGTAGTAGTCGTGTTCGGACGGCTGCTGCAATTGATTCACGTAATGGCTGGAGTCGTCATGTTCGGTCGGCTGCTGATAGTGAGTGTCGACATGAGGGTGACTGAAGTCGTATCCAGCCGGCGATGTCGATGGGGTCGTTACGGCTTCTGATGGGGTGGGCTTCGGTGCAAAAGGAAACGGCGCTGCTGATGGCATCCCACAGCACGCGACCGCCATCGCTACGCAGAACAGCTGCAGAGAACAATTATACAATTATTAGCATTTCATTATTTATCTTTGTTTTAGATACCTTCTTGGGTAAATTGAAAATTGAAAATCCTATGCAAGTGATTGGATAAAGGATATCGAAAGAATTGGTACGATTACCTACGTCCGAGTTACAATAGTAGGTAGGTACCTAAACCTTATGTAATTGATCACGTATTTAAGTATGATAAATCTACCTAATTACACTATGTTGTGAAAATCATGCGGAATTTATCTAGTCAAGTTTTATACAATCTTATACAGTTATATAGACTATTTATATTTAATTTTTGCTGTAATTTTTATATTATATTACTTTATTGAAATTTATGTTTTTTATTATTATATTACTAATTAATAATTACTACTATACTTATGTTTTTTGAATTATAGTCAAATATGATGCAGTTTTTACAAAGTATCAAAAATATTATAATATTTATAAATGCATACAGATATTTAATAGAACTCCATCGTCAAGAAATTATCCTCAATGTTGAGATGGGCCATTTATCTATGTTATAATATAGTATATGCCTATATATATATATATATAGTGTGTTTTCTTTTAAAGGTAACACTAAATTCTGTCCAGTGACATCGGATTAATTTGCGGATTTCGGTAGGGGATAGGGAATACATAAATACACATTTCTTGATGATTTTTACATTTTTAGATTATCCGTGTGCGCATGCGCAATACAATTTGCATTTTTTTAAATGGCAACAGGTGTTTTGAATACCAAATTCGGATAGACCGAATTTTTTTAAGTC